AGATCAGGTGGGAATGGAGGATCAAACCATTAGGGAAAACCTGTGGTCAAATTCCACATTGAAAGTGAGAGTACTGAAATATAAGTTCTTCTGCTTCCACTTGACTTGGTGGACAGCCAGTTCCCAAATATAATTCCCTAGGGTCTAAAACTTCATCTCTACTAAACAGAGTTCTCTTAACTGTGGCGCGGAAAAGAATTTCATTACATTGCACCGACACTGGATCTTGCACTGAGCATGTCCACATCAAAGAAAGAAGTAGAAGCAGAAGTCCTCCTGACACTACAGAGGCCTAGATGGACTTTTTAAGATAAGCTCATGACTTTGCAATATCACAATGCCTAGAGTGGCTCGGTTTTTCTCTCATCTAGCTTTCAGAGTACTTGAAGTATAAATTTAAGGGTAAGAATTTGAAATATAGTTTCGTTCTGTTGCACGTAGGGTCACTGTGAGTCAGAACTGCCTCAGCAGGACCTAACAACAACAACAACTCTGTCTCGTCGGAAGAGAGTTTAACATTCCAATAAGAGAGAATCCTGGTATTACTCAGAAAGAGCTTTCAGGAGTAATCGAACCAAAGACATCACATATATGTAAACAGGTGTCAAGAGAGTAAATATAAGAACAGCAAGTGTAACTCCTTTATATCTGCAGAGGAAAGGGAAAATACTTCTCACATGTCACACTACACTGATATTTTCAAATATTGTTCAAATAAATTATCTTAATCTATAAAAATAAAGAAACTAAAAATAACTTAAATAAGTAACCAAAAAGGCAAATCAAGAGAATAATAGGATTGTTAAAATATTATAAAAACACCAGTTAAGCATTTATGACACTTTTAATTGTCTATAAACATAAGAAATATAAGCAGTAATGATAATAGAAAAATATTTTCCTGAATAGCTTCAAGACTACAGAGTTTACAAAATAAATTTAATCTTTTCATGTCAAAGCATGACCTCTGTATTCATTCATTCATTCAACACTGTCAAAAATCGGTGATTCTGACTTCTTTCAGGTCAGCATGAAGGGCAGAACAAGCTCTGTTGTATATACCAAAAACAAGCAACAATTACACCTTACTTTAAAAGATTAAAAAAATCATAACTCCCCACCAATACAACATGCTGCTTCTCTAATAAACACCTACAGTACAGAGAAACTATTTACTTATTAAATATTTATTAAACATGTAACTAGGCAAAGTTAATGTGCAGATTTTAAAAAGCATTTCTGGTAATTATAAAATTATTCAATCTGTCCACACCATTTACCTGGTATAGTTTACAAATGCTCTTTTGGGAAATCTAAAGAGCAATTTAAAAATAAAATAAGCATCTATCTTGCCCTGGTAGAAACCATAGCCTTTCCAGGAAGATAAAACGAGACATAAACATGTGTTGACATAAGTACACACAAAGTCCACACAGATTAAATGTGAAATTACCTTTGATTTGCTCCGGCTTGTTTTCACCCTCGGTTTCTTCGCCACCCTGACCAATGCTAATGAAATGGAACGACGTGTAGGAAACCACCATTAGCCCACTGCCATCCGGTTCAAAAGCAGCATAATGTGGCACCGACTTTCCACGGAGAATGTCTCGTTTACTTATTTCATAATTTATATTATCTGTAGGTAAAGAGAGCAATATAAAATCTGATTCTGAAATATTTGTACATTAATTTTAACCAAAATGAAACATTTTAAACTTACTCTTAAAATGCAGATTATTCAGTCTTTTCATAAGAATAAAGAGTTTGCAACCTAATTTTCTGAAAAGAAATCCTTAATTTTAAAAACTGGGTTTGAAGAAATCTACTGACCTAAGATTGTGTCATATAACCTATCTGCAGAAACATGAAGCAAAACGCTCACCTCACTCCATGCACAAGAATAAATTCAAGGTGGATCACAGATCTCGAGGTAAACACACAAAGTCTTAGGGGAATCAACGAGGGAAATGGGACAATTCTAAGATCTTTGGCACAGGAAAGACATAAGCTATCAGAAATAGGGAAGAACACAAACACAGAGGAAGCACAAATTGACAAGTAGGATATACTGAAGATAAAACACCTGTGTACATCGAAAGAATTCGCGAAGAGAGCCCACAGACTGGGAAAACATCTTTAGCAATGATACATCAGACAAAAGTCTTATTACTAAAATCTACACTACTCTGCTAGCCTACAATAAGAAAAAAACAAACAGCCCACTGAGGAGGTGGGCAAAAGACCTGAACAGAAGTATCACAAGGGCGGAAATCCGAATGGCCAATAAACATATGAAAAAATGTTTCCGATCGTTAGCCATAAGGGAAATACAAATTAAAATAATTATGTGATACCACCTAACATCTGAAAAGATAGCCCAATTCAAAAAATCAGAAAGCAACAAGTGTTCGAGGGGGAGTGGTGAGACAAGAACTCTCTTCCACTGCTGGTGGTCCCGCAGGTATATGCAGCCACGATGGATGTCGATCTGGTGATACCTAAAACAAGTGGAAATCGAGCTAACATATGATCCAGCAATCCTCCTCCTGGGCATATACCAGAAGGAAGCAACAGATGACAACCAGGCATTTGTTCTCCGATGTTCATCGCAGGGCAGTTCACAATCGCAGAGTTGAAAACAACCTAAATTTCCATCAACTGCCAAATGGATTAAAAAACTCTGGTATGTGTGTGTGTGTATACACACCATATATACTCGAGTATAAGCTGACCTGAATATCAACCAAGGCACCTAATTTTACCACAAAAACTACATAAAAAATGTGCTGAAAAACTCGGCTTATACACAAGTATGTACGATACACATACACACACACACACACACACACACACACACACAATGGAATACTACGCATCCCTAAAAAGCAGTGATGAACACAACATGAAGCACATCATTTCATGGGAAGAGTAGGAGGAAATTATGCTAAATGTGGTAAGCCAAGCACAAAAAGATAAGCACAACATGAGCCCCGAGGGGAGCTCAAGAAGCACAATGAGCACACGGGACAGCTCCCTAATGCCTAACTTCCCGGGGGAGGGTCAGACCCAACCCAGGGATGCATCCAACCAAAAAGTAGGGGGAAAGGGAAAAAGAGATGAGGATAGTGGGGAACAAGGCACTAAACCCACCCGCAGGGAGGGTATTGTTTGTGTCTCCACAGGAAGGGGAGAAAGAGATCAGACCTCATCCAGGTGTACCAAGCCTTGAGGCCAAAAATACTGGCATGGAGCAGCGAACTAACAGAGAATTGCAGTGCTGGTCCCAATACGAGCTCTACTGACCCCCTCCCTAGAAGAATGTACTACAGAGGGCAGCACTGAAGATACCGTCCAGGAGCATGGAGGGTCTGCCCAAATCAAACTAAGAGCGGGGAGGGAGAATCTCTTCCTAACCCACCAAGCCTCAAGGACGACATTCCTGCTCGCAACTGTCAATGCAGAGAGGACTATAGAGCTAGCCCCACCAAAAGACACGACCTCCCCTCACTGACCCACAGCACTATGGGAACAGCCCTGGAGACACAGTGCTGGGTTTGTGCCCAGTCTGACCCCCACACCGGGGAGAAACAGGAATGGAGCGCAACAGTGCACTAGGAGTGCAAAGTATTGAAGTCCACGAAGAGTCCCAAAAATCGACTTCTGACTTGGAGGGCAGGCTTGGCACCTCATCGGAACCAATCAGAAAACATTCATGAGAATCAGCAGACAGACCTCGAACTATTTTATAGTGCCCACCCCCCATGTCTATATAAGATAAGCAGGATTGTTTACAATCCCGAGGAGAAAACAATGGGGCCGATGGTTCTGGGGAGACATGGGAGAGGACACAGGTGAAAAGGAGTGGGGAGCCAACACACTCAGACAGAGGAAACAACAAGGAATCTAAAACCAATGGTGAGGAGGGCCTAGAATGCCTGGTGGGCTTTTATCAAGCGGAATTACTGAGAGCTGAATGAAGGTCAAACATGAGAGTGGGGCAGGAAAGAAAGTAAAAAGAAATAGAGGAAATAACTACGAGGCAAAAGCCATTTAGAGGTATAAATATAGGCATGTATATATGTAAATATGTTAATGTATGATAGGGATATAGGTCTATGTACATATATTTTTATGTTAAGTATTAAGGTAGTAGACGGACATTGGGTCTCTACTCAAGTCCTCCCTCAACACAAGAACACTTTGTTCTAATAACCTGGCATTCTATGATACTCATCTTCCCGATGGGTGCATAAGCAAACGTGGTAAAGAAAGGATGATGCCTGGTTATTAAAAGTATAGTGTATGGGGTCTTAAAGGCTTGAAGTTAAACAAGCAGCCATCTAGCCGAGAAGCAACAAAGTCCACATGGAAGAAGCACACCAACTTGTGTGATCACGAGGTGTCAATGGGATCACAGGCTTCAGAAGACCCAAAACAATTATATCTATGCCAACGAGAGGGGTCGGAGAGGAGACACAAAACCCGTCAGTAGATAATAGAACACCTCCTCACAGAAGGGTCACAAGGAAGGGACAAGTCAGCCAGAGAGTAGTATAGCACTGACAAAACACACAACATTCCTCTAGTTCTTTCATGCTTCCTCCCCACCTCCAACCCCTATCATGACCCCAGTCCTACCTTAAAAATATGGCTAGACTGGAATAAGTACACTGGTACAGATAAGAGCTCTTGGACACAGGGAATCCAGGACAGATAAACCCCTTAAGGAACAGTAATGGGAGTAGCAATACCATGAGGGTAGAGGGAAGGTGGGGGAAATAAGGGGGATAAAGGGGGAACCGATCACAATGATCAACATATAACACCCCCCCCAAGGGGGACGAATAACAGAAATGTGGGTGAAGGGAGAGAGTGGATGGTGTAAGATATGAAAATAATAATAATATATAGTTTATCAAGGGTTCATGAGGGTAGAAGGATGAAGGGAGGAAGGGGTAAAGAGGAGCTGAAATCAAGGGTTCAAGCAGAAAGAAAATGTTTTGAAAATGATGATGGCAATGTATGTGCAAGTGTGCTTGATACAATCGATAGATGGATTGTTATGAGCTGTAAGAGCCCCCAATAAAATTATTTTTTTTAAAAAGCCTGTGTCATCCAATACGCTGTCAGGAGCCACAAGTTGACTGTCTGGGGAAAGTGTATTGTGGACTACTTTTCTGCCTGCTCCAGACACTAACTGGGAGTTTTCTTAAAATAAAATATATTTGTATTGTTTTTAGTTACACTTGGCAATCTACATGCCTCTTGTGATCAAACCTAAATCATGGCACCTAAACCTTGGTGGCATAAGGGATTCTGTAAGGCCAGGTATGAGTAGAAATCCACTCAAATGCATGGTGTTTCATTTGGGGAAATTTTAAAGCTGTAAACAATTAATTGGATCCTGAAAGCTTTAGGTACATTAAATGGATTGACTCTCCTAGTCACTTTTTCCTTTAAAAAATATTTAATCATCTCACCTGAGTTTCTTTGTACTTGTGTTTGCACTCTGTTGTCCCATTAAAATGAGCTAACTTACAAGCTTCATGATGAATAAACAATTTATAACTCAATGTCATGAATTCTACATAATCCACCTATTAATAAGACAGTCTGTTCATCTCCAGCATTCTTTTTGCCTACATTCATTGAATACATAAGTATTTAAGAATAAGCTTGGAATTTTGTGATGAAACTAAACACTCCTATCCTTTATCTCCATTAACTATGAGATTTTACATGCAGAATACACAGTCCTGCTACATTTAAAGAGCTCCCAAATCAAACACTATTTATTTGCTAGGATGGGCTATTCCCAACATGTGTGGAATAAAAAGTAACAGATAGCTCTCAAAAAATGGGTTGTATGGTAAAATAAATTCAGGAAATGCTGGGTTTTATCTACTAGGCAACTTGGTGTATATTATATGTCTGTACGTTATGCAAGTTGGTACACCACTATCATGCATGTTGGTGTCTCTAGGACACATATACACATAATGTACGTGTATGTGTATTATCTTAGAAACACCAATGTACATGATTTTTCATGGAAATACTGTATGCCAGATTTCAAACTTGTTTTATCACAAGTTTATTTATCAAGTGTTACAATGAACAATTTGCAAAAACAATGCTCCATTTAGTTAATTTGGGGTAAAAAATGGAAAGAGTAGAGTAACTATTTAGTAATTATTGGGGGGGGGGGACATGAAAGGGAAGAACTAGACATTCAGAGGAGAAATGAAAAATAAAGTTAACCAGCGAGAGAATTTGTTTCTACAATTACAACCTAGGGAGAATCCGTTGCGGCGAGGAATGAAGACAAAGCGAGTGGCGGTGACGAGCGAATCAGCCCGGCTGTTCTGAAGCAATCTGATGTGGACTCAGCGAAAGCTGCTACAGAACCAAGAGTCCTAGAGGGAAAAGGAGGAACACGCAGAGACTTCTCCTGTAGGACCTTCCAGAGCATCCCTTACTAAGATAATGAAAGCCTCTTTTACCAGAAGCTTTCCAATGTTCAGTCATCACGAAGGCCTCGTGTGTATATGGCTTTCAAGGCTATTATTAACTTTCGGAATCAGTAACTAGGCCAGACTTCCAAAGGACCTCTGCCAACCTTTCATCTAGCAATCA